TGCCGTCCTGCCCTCACCCTGCAGCAGCAGCGTCGCCTGGCTGCATGGAAACCCCCTGCCTGCATCCCTCTGGGACCAGGCAGGAGCATCCGTGCTGGAGCATTGCGGCGGAGAGGAGCAGGGACTTGCACTGGACCCTTGCACACGTGCAAATCCTGCATCAGTCCGAGAGCATCGCAGCGTTTGTGCTGGGAGATGACGCACGATTTGTGCTCAGAGGGAGTTGACATCAAGCTTCAAATTCCTGAAGGGCAGTTAGAGAGAGGAAGGCTGGAGTCGGGCTTTTCTCTGTGACTTTCAGGACAAGAGCAATGGCCTCAAGCTCTAGCAGGGGAAACTGAGGCTGGAGATTAGGAAGAACTTCCTGACTTAGAGGGGTCACACACTGGAGCGGGCACCTGAGAGACGTGGTGGGGTCTCCATCCTTGGAAACGGTCAAGAGCAGGTTGGACAGACACGCGGCCGGGATGGTTTAGCCAGGGCTGAGCCTGCCCAGTGCTGGGGAACAGGACAAGACGTGGCCTTGTGAGGTCCCTTCCAGTCTGACTTTACCTAACTACCAGGACAGCCACGACTCCCCCAGGAGTCGCGCTCGATTCCAGGTGATGGCACTGGGGTTAGAAATCATAGAAATCCTGGAGAAGCAGAGCTGGAAGGGACCTGCCGAGTTCACATCTATTCCTACAGCCCTGGACACTGTGAGGGCCACGATCCTGATGGGAGAAGGGGGTACCCTTCTCCCATCAAGTCCTACCCCAGAGGGTCCTGGGATGACAGGATGGCATGGAGGAAACCTTGGGCCACATGTGGTTGTGGGAGCAGCTGCAGAGCTGAGGCAGGATCAGCCCTGTCCAAACCATCCTATATGATCCACGAGGTCCTGAGTTGCTTTACTGAAGAGTCCGGAGGGGATCCCGAGCCCCGAAGGGGAGCAGCCTATCCGCTTCCCCTTAAAAGCCAACCTGGCAAGGCTGTTCCCTGCTCCACGGCTCTCATTTTGGAGCTTGTCTTGGCTTCACGGCGCCTTTTCCTTTTCTTAATAGATTGAAGTGTCCAGGCTGGAGCCTGTGGCGGGGGACCAGGAGGCAGAAGGACACTTCCAGCAGAGTTTTGCAGGGAGGGGAAAGATTGCTTTCCCAGACTCGCGGCTCGGCCCAGAGGGTTCCCGCTGCAGCGCCGGGGCTCTGCACAGTCTCAGCAGCGTTGGCTCCGGGCTCTTGGGTAAACACCACGTGGCCCTGGCTGGGGAAGGAGGCTTGGCTTGCAAGGAGCGTTCCTCCAGAGTCGAGGGGGGGAGGGAAAAAGCAGGCAGCTGGCATGCACCCGACCCCATCGCACCCAGAGCCCTAGCAAGAAGGGGCCGGGACCCTGCGGAGACCCGGGTTGTAATCCGGGCTAGGTGCACGGCACCAAAAAGTCGGCTTAACCCGTGCCTGCCTCCGTTTTCCCATCTGCCGATGAAATGGGTGTAATGTTCCCTTGTTCCTGGCTGCACCCTCACTGCTTGGCATATTAACTCTCACGCTCCAGGGTATCAGCGCCTGGTAACGAGGAAAACCAGGTCCCTGAGTGGCTCGGACAGGGCTTGATGCACCTCTCTGAGATCTCAGCCCCATCTGTGGGCACTGTGGAGGTGGCTGGGGCTGGCAGAGGGGAGGCGACTGGCTTTCCTCACCATCCCTGTGATTTTGAGTCCAGAAGCTCTTCCTGGCAGGACTCTCAGGCAGGCCTGGGCACGTGCTGCAGGACTGAACAGGGGTGCCGCTGGTGTGCTCTGGATCTGGAGCATGTTACGTCTTCTGGAGCTGGGAGGCCATGGGAGAGACGCCAGGAAAGGGACATCCATCACTGTGGGGTACAGGGAGAGGCTGGATGGGCGCTGGCGGGCGGTGCTCTAGGTATAGCAATGCCCATGCTCTGCTATGGGGATGTCCCTGTCTTCTGGGTTGTGCTGGTTGCCCCCCACCCCCTTTCTGCTCCATGTGTCGGAGGGTTTTACGCCTCCCCCAGAGGCGCTGGGTGCTGCTGCTGCCCAGGCTGGGCCAATGCAACCCTGCAGGTTAGGCTCAGACCCACACTGGGATCAGGAAGGGATTTCCCCCCCTGCTCGAATTGGTGCAGACTGGGGGGCGGTGTGGGGTTTGCCTTCCTCTGTAGCTGGGACACAGCCTCTACCTGGGATCTCTCGAGCATATACTAACAACCTTTTATAGAAACAGGACGTTGTCTGCTGCCGTCCCCCTGCTTTCCCTGGGGCAGGTTTGGGTGTGATGCCTGGTGCTGTGTCGGGGGTGACGGTCGTCTTACAGAGATTTTAGACTACGGATATGTCTGGGCTGGTTTGGACAGGGCTGATCCGGCCTCAGGCAGGGCTTGGACTAGATGTAACCCGCTTCTTTATGACCCTGTAACTCTCTTGGTGTTGGTCGGAAGAGATGTCTCCCACAGGCATGGAGCAGATGCTTTGCTGCTGTCGGGGTCCGGCCCAAATTGATCCGGCAAGAGAGCGCATGCTGTCGAGCTTAGGCGCCTGCCTTCGGGCTGGAGCCTTCCCGCGGAGGCAGAGCTCCCAGAGACCTCAAGGGAGGGAATCCATCAGGACACATCCCTCGCATGGCACTTGGAGGATGAAACGGTGGAGTCCTTCAGAGCTGCAGTCGTGGAGCAGCCCTGGTGTGAAGCCAGTTGCCAACATCCAGAGGCACGGTGGAAGCAGGAATCCTTGGCAGCAAAGCACCCAAACGTTGCAGGACACAGGGTCACTGCAGATACCCGGCAGCCTGAGAAAAGCCGCCGCGTGGCATGTTGCTTTGAAGGCCACGCCGAGTCTGTCGGGGGGCTTTGGGAAGCTGGATTGTGGCCCAGCTGACACCAGAGCAGACCTGGCGTTACAGGGAGAGCTAGGACAGCTGCTCCTGGCTTGCGGCAAGATGGTTTGAGACCAGTTTATCCCAGTTGGGGGATCAGTGCAACCCTGCAGGGGTGAGGAGTCCTCCAGGCAGAAGAGAGCAAGCGGCTGCAAGGAGGCCCGGATTTTGCATCGGGATGGTGGGAGGCTCCGTGCCTTGCAGGCCGGTGGGTCTGAGGCGGCTTCATTTTAAGTGGAGAGGAGGCTTTTGATGAGCTGGGTTTGAAAATCCTCCATGCAGCACACAGGGGAGCCCCGTGCGGTCTCAGCCTGCTGTTCGTTCTGTAATGGACACTTATCATGGGAGCCGCCGTCCGGGGGGGACACGGGGGGGTGTGGACAGGGTCCCCAGCATGTGGGGACATGGTTGGGGGTGGTGGTGGGGGTGCTAGGGAGGGATTGCAGACAGAGATGCCCCCAGCAGGATAAGCAGAGCCATGTGTGCCTCTGGCTCCAGGCTGGCTGCAGACCTCGGCACGTGGTGCTTTGCTTCAGCTTCCATTCGCGTCTTTGAGGGCGGGTAAGGGACTCCAACGGCCTCGCTCGTGGATGCCGCCGGAGGCGGGTGGCTCTAGCCCTAGCCCAGCCTTCGTCATGCAGGCACCGTCTTGCAGAAGCCTCGTCACAGGCTGTGGTCCGCGCTGTCCTGCAGAAACAGGGCGACGGGCCTGTCTGGCTTGACTTGCTCTGACGTACGGCTGGGATAGAGCCAGCAGCCTGTTGGATTCCTGGCTCCCTGCAAGCCCAGGGGAGTTTTGACACGGATGCCACAGAGTCTGGCTGCCCACCCCCAGCTCTGCCTCCGGCAATGCCCTGGAGGTGAGCTGCGGGGGTCGAGCCCTCTCCAGCACAGCAGAGCGGCTTTGAATGCGAGCAGCTGGACGAGCAGGGTGTGGGTCTGATTTTACAGTCAGGTGGGGCCCGGTGATGCTATGTGGGCCCCCTGCGGGAGACCTCCACCAGCATCCGCAGCTTCTCCCCTCCAGGAAAACCCTGTGCAAGCAGCCACCTGCCTGCAGCTCGGAGCCAGCCCTGTGCATCACGCGCTGTTCTTGGCATTTGGGGCAGACCTGGGGACTTGGCAGGCCCCTTCTAGCTCAATGTGCCTCTTTCAGAGCCATGCAGTGGGGTTTTTTTGGCCGGGGTCCGGGGCAGCGCTGTCCCCCGGGGCATGTCTCGCTGATCTTGTGCAGGCAGCCAGTGAAATGCTGCTTGGAAAGCTGTCTAGGGCAGTGGTTTTCCATCTTAGACTCTTGTTAAGAGTCCAGGCCCCCCTTGGAAAATGCCAGCTCTTTGCTTCCCCTCATTTTTTGACTGCAGGAAAACGTTGGAGCGATTCTCCTGTTGCAAAGGACTCGGAAAGACCACAGCAGGGCAGTGTGTTTGTGACACTGTGGAGCCCCTGGGTTTGTCTTGTGAATCGTATCTAGGGGTTTGCACAGCTAGCGGTGCTCGTGTTGTGTAGGATCCCATGGGGCCCCGGTTGAGAATCGCCAGTGTAGGGGGAAGGGAGTTCTCTTTGGCACATGCAAGAAATTGCCTAAAATTGCAAACAGGGCTGTGTTTGCATCCAGAACTCGAGGTAACTCTGGATCCCTTTTCAGTGAGGGGTGGTCTGGGCCAAGAAATCCCTGGAAAAAGTCTTCCAGGGACTGCGGCAGTGTCGGTGGCCCCTGTGTAGCACGGTGGCCGGTGTCCTACCATGGGTTCAGGGCTTCCTCCACCATTGCTTTGTCTACAGGAGGGTCCTGCTTAGTTGCAACCTCTTGTTTAGGCTTGGTCACGTTGAATCGGACCGAGGCTGGGCTAGTTTCAAGGCTCCCGGCTTGCAGCCCCTCACTCTCCATAAGTCCCCCAGGGCCCTGAAATCGCAGGGGTTTATCATCCTGCTGCGGATCTGAGCACGCTGTCCGGTCAGAGGGAGCCTTTGCCGGTGCAAAGTTCAGAGAGACTTTGAAATCCAGGATGTTGTGGAACGGGGATTTGTCCGGGTTGCAGAGAGCTCGCTATGGGGTCTGGAGGAGGGAGGGGGGGTCTCTGCTTCCCTTTAATCTGCACTGTCTTCTCTGATCTTGCGTGGAGTGGCTGGCTCTCTCGGGCGTGCCATCACCACGTGAAGGGGAAGGCAGCTGGGTCCTAAGGACGTCCGTTCCCTGAAGCGTCGGCGTGCCAAGGCAGAGCGGCGTTCAGACTACAAGCCCTCCCTCCTCTCTCTTGGCGTCGGCTGCCTCAGTGTTTCCGAGATCCTCTCCTTGCTGGCTCTCCCGTTCACCCCGGAGCCTCCCAGGCTGCGTGGGGCCGGAGTCTGCACTGTGGAGAAACAGGCAGGTCGTTACAGAGCCCGGAAAGGCACCGGCTTCGATCCGTCTCCCTCGTGACCGATCACCTTCCCAAACAGCTGTCCTCCGTCCGCCCCGCCGGACCCTCTCGAGCGGTCTTGGCGCAGGGGGAACCGTGGCCGCAGGGTCGGTGGGAAAGGGAGACGGCTCCGTCCCGTGGCTGCCAGCTGCCTCCTGCACCGTGCACGCTTGGTTTTGCTTCTCTCCGAGCCCGGCGTCTCCCCGCCCTGTTTACTTCATCCCAGCGCGGTGTTTTTCCACCGTCGTTCTCCGGGCAGGGCTCGCTTGCCCCGCCAGCTCTTGCTCGGCAGGCTCCTCTCCCCGGCAGAGTGATTTACGAGGCCTGGGCTGAGCGATTTCAGATGTCCAGGCCGCCCGAGGAGGAGTTCGGCTCTCCAAGGGACTGGCAGCGGGACCGGGGAGATCCTCTTGCAGGTGAGTCAGGGCTGCACAGTCCAGGTGAGGGTGTGCTGGTGGGCTGTGGGGGGTGGAGAGGTCTCCTTCGCCACCTTTTTTTCCTTGGCTTTGTGCTGCGGCTCCTAGCAAGTCTCCGCCTTGATCGTACCTGGCAAGCCTCCGTTCCCACCACACCCCAGTGCTCGCTCGGGGCCTTGGCGCTGGGGACGGTTGCTTTTTGCAGCAGGCCTTGCCAGGATGACGTGCTGGGTTGCAACCCAGCTGCCGGCTCTCCGGGTTTCTTGGCTCGGCGTAGCAGGGACGTGAAGACCCAGATTTCTTCGAGGAGGAGAGGGAATGCCGTTGCATGAAAGCTTGGTTGGGAAGTCGTGTCTGGGGGTTATCAAGGAAATATGACGCCTTCCTCACCCTCCTCACCACTTCCCCATGGGCATTTTCAAGGAAAGATCTTTTTCCTTCATTCTGCCTTTCCAAATCAAGAGGCCTCTTTTATTGAGAGCATGTTGTATGAGAGTAAATACGGTACCGACGCCCATGTCTGGCCTCACTTGCTCCTGGTTATGCAGCCCAGCGGGTTATGTGCAGCGGTGTCGCACGGGGGATCTCCAAGCACAAGGACTCGGCTGCGCCCCCAAGCCGTTCTGTAGCGGAGTCGCTATTCGTTTTGTAGCTGTGCTCTTGAGATCCTTCCCCAGCGCAGCCCGTTGTACCCGTGTCTGCTGCATATCGTGTTCCCTCTCTAACTCTGCTCTCGCCACCACAGGCAAATGTGGCTGTGCAGTCACTTAGCATGGCTTTCACCCCAAATCTCATAGTGTTTGCACTTTGTAAAGCCCCAGCTCCTGGAAGCACGTGAAGATCAGGGATCGTTTTAATAAAACATTCGGCCTGCAAGGTTTCAGAGGGGAAGGAAAAACAAGTGTGACCTGGAGGCTGAGAAACCCAGGGATAAATAGGGAACCTAAACTGGCTGAAATTAGGACATGAAGTACTGTATCTTCTTGCATCTGCTCAGCCCTCTAGAAACAGCTGCTGGAAATTGGTGTGCACATTATATGCAGGAAATACGGTAAGAACAGTCTCTGCCAGGTCAAACCAAGAGTAAAGCCTGCAGCGATCCACAGGCAGCTGAGCCGTGAGCCTCGCTGCTGCTATCGGTGACCTAGCACAAGGGACGAGCTCTTTTACTTCACTCTGTTTTTCAAATACAAGGCGTTTGTTATATCCTGGAGTGTATTGTATTCAAGAAAATGCGGCACTTTCTTTTCGGGGTGAGAAGGGGATTTCTGACTGAATGCACGGGGCTGGCACGAGGGTTTGGGAAGCAGGGAGATCTATTCAGTCACCTGAGCCGGGTCCCAATGCCCTGACCTGCCAATGTGGGGCCTGTGGAGGAGCATCTCTGTGCTAGCGGGGCAGGAGACCAGTGTGAACGCACGGCCTCTCTGTGACCATTAAAGCCAGGATTAGCAAGTGCATTACAACCCTAAGGCGCTCGCCGCAGCACCGGTTTCCCGGCGTCTGCGCGTGCTGCATAGGTCCAGCAGCCAGCGCTGGCATCGCGGACGTACAGGGGTCAGTGAGGGCATCGGGAGAACCCCGCGTTCCCGGTCCTGGATGTTCCCGGTTCTCCTGTGACTCCATTGTTCCTGCTCAAGGGTCGAGTACGGGCCTGGCTTCTCTTGCAGGTACTGTCACGGGGTCCCGTGGCTCTGAGCCGTACGACTTGACCCGGCTGGACAAAGCCTTGGCTGGGGTGAGATAGCTGGGACTGGTCCAGCTTTGAGCAGGGGGCTGGACTAGATGTGACCTGAGGTCCCTTCCAGCAACCCGGGGAGGTCTGTGCAATCTGTGCGAGCCAGGTACAGCCAGACCCTCCCTGACGCATCGTCGGCTTAACGAGATGAATGCAAACACTGAGGGATCCTTAACGAAACTCGTTGGGCTGTACGTTCCCAGGAAGCAAGAGCAGGCAGGCGTAATTACCACCTGGCGTCTCAGCCCTGGGGAGCTGCGAGGGGGCGACGGGCTCGCTTTGTGGGGCTGATTTTTGTCAGCCAGCAACACGCCCGGCCGGTTTGCCCACTCGCCCGGTGCGTGTCCCGCCCCGGCTTGGCATTCGCCCGTGCCTACAGAGCCCCGGATCTGAGCGAACACGTCCGTGCGAGAGCCCTGCTGCGCTTAGGCGAGGTTTGACTCTCTTCCCCCACCTCTCTCCTTCCCCTCCCAGATCCAGTAATGATGAATGGTTCCAACGTGGCCAACACGACGACGTCCAGCACGAAATCCAAAGAGGACCAGGTCGTGAACGGGCATGAAGAGAAGGAGAACAACCCTTTCGCCGAGTACATGTGGATGGAGAACGAGGAGGATTTCAACAGACAGGTGAGACAGGGAGGCTCTGCCTTTGGAAGCAAGGACACAAGCGGTCCTTGCCTGGCCCTGTCGGGCTGCTGTGTCTCGAGACATGTACTCCTGTGCTAGCACTAGCGTCAGGTCCTTGTGCGCCTAAATCCTTCCCTGGATCAGTTTTCTCCCTCCTCCCTGCCAGTCATCTGGAATATTTGTTGGTGGTTCAGCCCATGCTGCATAGCTGCAGTGTCGATTGTACGGCCCACGGGCTGGATCCGGCCTGCAGCACCTTGGCTCTCCCAGAGAGCTGGGAAAATCGGGGCAGGGCTCGCTGCTGAGCGCCCAGCTACAGAGCCCCAGCGGAGAGGTGCGTTGGGGTCGAGATCCAGCCTGCGGGACCTCACACGAGTTTGACACTCCTGCTCTGTAGGATCTACAAAAGTGTCCCTCCGGGGGAGCTGCAGCTGGCTTGTTGGTGGCAGAGAGGGGCTGTCCCCATCAGTCCTTTCCTGAGACCAAATGATTCCAGCCAGATTTGGGTGGGTAGAAGTTAGGCCTGTCTCGGCGGGTGCAGAAACGATATTGTTTTTCCTCAAGCACGTGGTACTCGGGGCCCTCCTATTCCTGCGTGCCCAATTTGGAGAGGAACCGGCGGGTGGGATAGGGGCACGCGGGGCAGCCGAACATTGGAAGGGCTCTCGGTGGGAAGCCACGTTCTCCACGCTCCCCAGAGGTGGGTGCAAACAGCTGGAGCAGCAGCTGCCCATCGGCGGGGCCCCAGAAGCAATGTAGCCAGCGTGCTTTGGTGACAACCCCTCCACGGCCCACCTGGCCTGGATGGGAGGCTGAGCAGAGGATATCTGCGGTTGTCCGAAGCTCTTCAGACGGGGGTGTAGCCTTTCCAGCCTCTAAGCAGGGGACACGGCAGCCCTTTTTCTCTCCTCCACTGCTGTCCTGACTCGCCATGCACAGATGCACATGGAGCCCGTCCCCCTCGCTGCGAACCTGGCCTCGCCGAGCTGCTGTCCCGATGCCAAGCCTGTGTGATGTGGCAGGGGGCGGGGTCCCGGGCAGGGGG